ACGCGCGTTGTTTTTATACCCCCCCCCCCCCCCCCCTCCTCTGCAGAAGTCTGAAGGTGCCCATGCACTTTACAATTATCGTTCGCAAAACGAATGCGATCCGTTTTGCATCCGATAATCGGCCAGTTGATGGGAAGAGCACGATCGCAATGACTGTACAACTGGCCGGTTTGGGTTGAACTGGCAGACTAGAAAACTTTCATCGAAATGGATGAAAATCGATGGATTTGTGGCGTTTGCGTACAACAAACATCGCAACATGAACACTGCACATGTGCAAGCGAAAATCTGTTCTGTTGATTGTCGAAATTTGGCCAGTTAGTATTGCTGACGATAGATTGTCGAAATCTACATTGGTCTGTGCATGGTGGGCTATTTGTGCGGAAATTGAGCAAGGGTGCGATGACGACACAAATAAAATTGAATGGTAATTGTAAGGTGTATGGGCACCTTAAGGTCCTGTAAATCATCCGGTTTTATACACTTTGTATAGATGTGATGACAACCAGGAAGATTCCAATGATGCAGTGGAGGAGGAGACAGGCTGGAGGGAGCTCTGTGACAGCTGGCTGGCTTGGAGTTTCGGGTGAGTATAAGTTTGTTATTTTTAAACGTAGATGAAAATGAGCACTTAACCTTTAGGCCCCGTTCACATATAGCGAATTGTCGCGCGATTTCCGCCGCGATATCGCGCATTTTTGCCGCGCGATATCGCGAGAAGTCGCCGGCCAATGCTATTCAATGGAGCTGTCTTAACTCCATGTCGCGCGTCGCTCGTCGCGGTCGCAAGTCGCTTCTACCGGACCCTTTTTTCGGCGGATTTTGCGCGATTTTGCTTTTTTTCTATGGAGCCCGACGGAGAAGGTCGCGCTACCGTCGCTGGATCGTCGCTGGAACGTCGCCCCGAAAGTCGCGCTATCCCGGCCCGCGGCAAAGGTATGTCGCTATATGTGAACGGGGTCTTACAGTGCGGGGGTAGCCAAACTACAGCCAAGTACACTCGACTAGGACCATCCCCAATCCTATCATAGCAGATATTAACACATGTTTAATGTAGTCCGTGTATTGTCTGAAAAGAATAATTAGGTCAATTGAACCAGTAGGACCTACCAGGCAATATGTTGTTTAAGCTTGTAGCGAAATACAAGGCTATAGATTTTGGAATCAGTTGGGCACTCCACAAGTGTTTGCAGCTAGTGATCTTGGTTGGAAAACGCCAATATTGATTGGGATAAAACTGCCAGGCCTATTCATAACATACAAAACATGTATAATCAATTCTGAATTGAGGAAGCTAGTCAGATGACCAACTAAACATCTTCATGAAAAATACAGAAAGTCCAGTTGCTTTGATTTTTTTTTTTACAGAAATGCCATTACCTGGATAAATGAGAACCTTCAGAGACATAAAATAACAAAGCTATACTTACCCAGACCACAATCCTGGCTGGCTTCTTCACCACTCCATTTAGCCTCCAGCCGTCTTATCCCTCCGCTACAGTGATGGTATTTTGGTATGTCCCTCGGCTTCCTCACATTCTATACACTGTATGGGATGTGATGACTCACAGGATCTTAGACTGGTGGGGTGGAGGGAGAGAGAGGATGAAGGGACTGTGTAAGAGGAAGCCAGGATCGAGGTTTTGGGTGAGTATACCTCTGTTATTTTAGCTCCCTGGACAAAACCATAATTTAACCCTTGCAGTGAAGGGGTAGCCCCACTGCAAGGATTAAGATTTGATTTGGCTGGGTGTGTAAATTTTCTGTAAATAGCTGTGTGTTATGTGTGGAGAGCTGCTCCAGTTGTTTCCCCTGCTCACTACTTCCCCATTCACAAATGCCTTGTATTTTCTTCAAAGAGCTTCCTTTACTATCCAGTCTGGGTAAAAATATTGTAAACTATCAGAATATCAGGGTTATATATTGGCATTTATTTCTGTGGCAAACTGCGGGTTACAATTCGTTTTTTAACAGGTGCAGGTAGATTTTCAGTTAGAGAATGTGGGGGGCACTTTGAACCAAATTACATTGTGTGTCCTGGCTGGATTTGTCTACAACTCACAGAATGAATGACAGGATATTGTGCCTAGCAGGGGTGTGTTAATGTTCAGGTAGAGCATTGGTGGATGGAGCACGGGCTGCTCCATCCATGCATCTCCATTGGTGGATGGAGCACTGCTGGACCAAATGATGTTGTGGGCAGATGGCAGTATGGCAGAACAGATAGGCTTCAGTTTTTTACTATGGGCTCAAAGCTTTATGGAGATGCATGTATCATGTAAACAGTGCATCTAAAAACACAATGCAGACACACACAGCATGCTCTATCTGTCTGTCTGTCTGTCTGTCTATATCTACATATTTATCTGTCTATCTATCTGTCTATCTGCCTATCTATCTTCATATAGGTGTATGGGCACCTGGGTCAACGACGACCTGCTCTAGGCCCCTATGCAGCTGGGTAGCAACATAACACTTCTAAAAGTGATCTATTGGTGTTTGCAATCAGTTATTTAAACTGGTGCTGGGACGAATAGCTGCTATCCCAGCACTGTTTTAAAACTGCGGCAGGGACTCCCGTGGTAAAGAAACATCAGTATGGGCAACAACTTCACTTTTATCTTTATTATTTCTTCTGTTATAATGAGTCAGATTGAGTGTTTCTGACTAGAAAGCAACAGTAAAAAAATGGGAGTGTTACCTAAAGTGGTACACACTGCACACCAGCCAATGGGGGCTCATAAAACGGAAAATTGTATACTTACCTACTGGTAATTTTCCATTACTGACTCCAGTACATGGCAGCATACAGACCATTGTATGCTGCCATGTAGGGTGTCAGGAGATACTAATATCAAATCACATTTTTTTAGAGATGCAGCTTGATGCTCCTTTGGTAAACACATACCGGCAGATTCAGCATTCCCTTGTTTTACCTATGGTGGACTGAGGTTATCATGTACACATACTGCACAGGACTGCACTTCACTGGCCACATAGATTCAGCTCTGTACAGGTTTGGCTACCAAGTGAATTGTTGTGCTGTACTGCAAATGCATGACCACTCCAGTTCATGTGCCAATGTTCTTAAACACTTTTAAAAATATGTGCCAAGCTGCCTGTTGGAAAATAAGGGTTGGTCTTTATCTTAATGGACTTTATTTAACCAAGCAGTGCAATAAATCAGTTTTGAAAAAAAAACAGTTTCCCTGAGCTGACAGATTTCTATATGCTCAGGTCACATCAGTGAAAGATCATTTCTGATTGGTTGCTGTGGGTAAATTCAGGGGTCCACAAATCAATATCGAATCCAGGAGCTAGCAGGATTTTTGTTTTAGGAGCCAGCTCCATTGACAACAACTAGAGAAAACATCAAAAGTTAGGCACCAACTGTCATTTTTAGGTAGCATCGGCGATCTGGCCCGTGGGATTTGTCCATGCTTGGGTTAATCATTAGTGTTTATGCTTTCTTTCTGAAAATTTCCACTCAGGACTAACAAATCAAAAATGTCTAGAAAAAATAAAATTATATTTTACCTATTTCATTCTTCCTTTTATTTTTAACCCTGCAATAGAAAAATTGCAGCTGGAATCTTGGATTGGTAAAGTGTAGATCTGATTTTATTTTTGTAGATATATAAAAACCTCCCCATATTATTTTACAATACTTTTCCATGGGAATATAAATCTGATCCCCTCCTTCTCCTTCTACAGTACCCCAGAAGCTGCAAGCTTCATGATGTTTTCCGAACGTGTGTTATC